TTGAGCAGTCTTTTTTCTTAATGAAATATTGCTGGAAATTGATTTCCGTGGATTAATCAAGCCAAATTCCTTTTTGGATAATTAGCCCCAACTAATTAGACTAGCTAAAAACCTCTGTGACAAATTTTTGGCATTCATAAATGTAACTAAAGAAAACAGAATAATGTTATATTCTTTGATTCCATTTTATGTTAATTATAATGCATATTAGAAAGCTCAGTGAACAGTTCAATGTGACGGTCCATTTCTGAAAACCATCACAAAGGCTTTCTTACTCACAAATGCTAGCGGGCATCTATGAGCCATCAGACAGACAGAAATCTTTTGCAGAGGCAATCTGATGGATTAGTATCAACTACCATTTTGCCCATCTCCTTTAAAACAACCATTAATCCAATTAAGCACCTAAGACTTGAGTAGAGCGTTGCAACATTCAAACGTTGTGTGGCAATGCAGCCCATGGCAGCTGGATCGCCTTGATGCAAAAAGATATTCTCTCTCGACCAGTGTTCAGTGCTGGTTTTTACCACTATAAAAAGGTAAGAACTTCCTCACACTTACCTTGCGTCTCTCTCCATTGAAGCCTCTCCATTGCTCTGCCTTCTTTACAATGTAATTGAGCTCCTGGTTGGAAACCTCCATGTCATGTGGAACAAAGAATGCTCCCTCAGTGCTGTGGAGCCGCAGGTAGATATCTAATAGTCTCCCATCATTGTGAAGTCTGTTAAAAGAAGTAGAAGGTTAAGAAATGTTTGGCAGAATTATGAATTTATAGCACCAAGCTCCAAAAAAACAAAAAGACAAAAATACACTATGTATTAAATCCTAATTGGTTATGTAACATGAAGGAACCAGTGGCATTCGGTGTTGGTGATGTTAATCTTGGTCTTCTGCTCCTAAAGGTGACATTTTTTTAAACAAACACAATTATGAATTATATTTGATAGACCCCAAAGAATATTAACACATTTTTCCATCTGTTTCTCACATAATATTAGAATTTAGCAACTGTTAAAGGGTTTCAATGGCATGGAGGGCATGTAAAGATGACCTGATGATCAGTAAACTATTTCTTGGTTTGTCACAAAGTTGCAGGAGAGAAGTTCAGAGTTCAGATGGGTTTTATGCCACCTTGTCACATCCTGGTCATTTTGCTGTCAAGGCTGTTAACGTCTGACGAACAGCTCATCTGACCTTTCCAACAGAGTGAAATTCTGATGAGCTTCAGCTCGGCAGAAAAGCAGGCCTGACCCATCAATGTCAACCGGCAAAACAGAAGCGACTCTAGTCTAGGTTTGACACCTTTGTTAACTAATTCTGGTCTTTTCTTCTCCCCTACATTCTACTCAAGTAAAAGCTGGAATGAACAGACATCTTGGACCTCTAGTGGGTCTTAAGCTTCTGAAGCATATCAAATAAAGCCTCCTCTATCACTCATCACAGAGAAGGTGCATTGAATGTTGAATTCTAAAATCATAAGGCAGTGTAGAAGGCTTGTTTGCTTGTGTTTTTGTGGGAAGGCTGTCTCTTCAGATCATACCTAGATCCTAATGTTCTTCAAAGAAGCTGAGTTTATAGTGGTATCTGAATCTCTGACTGGTGAGTAAGTTGTGAGTCATATGACCACTACAGCATGGTTATTGATATTGAGTCTTAAGGTGGCACCTCCTCAGACATCACTCATAGACAGTGCATGAATCAACAGCCGTGAAAACACACAGCTTGGCTTCTCTTCAAAATGTCTTGACCCTCCACTGCGGAAAAGAGATTATTCTCGCTCAAAAGGATAATGAGCACTCCAGAAAATGAAACATCTACCATGCAAAGTTTAAAGGATGAAAAGCAGTATGGCTTCGTGAAATGTAACGATCCATCATTCTACCAAGGGGAAAAAAAGCGTGTGATGATTGCTTTGCTATGGCATGTACACATGACCTAAGTATGCATGAATGACGATAACCCATTAATTTATGATCAAAGTGAAAAAATATTGCCAGAGTACACCTATTCTATTATATACTTAGTACATGTCTTAATGTGAATTAATATGTATTCAAAATCATATGTCTTACTGTATGTCAGGGATTTATAATAAACAATGTAGAATCATGATGAACTTTAGTATTTTTGAAATAAAGATATAAATCAATAATTGGCTTAAGATGACTAAGGGCTCATCCACACAAAGCCAGAGCTTTTACTATCCTATCTTTTTTTTTTTCCTCGTTCTTCCATAAGCATGGCGTTGTCTCAAGAAATATCTGCGTACACATGAAACCACTGAAACCGGCTCAAAACGATGTAATATACTTTCCAGACCATTATGTGGCACTGTAATTCTGCCACAGAGATACACCACAAATGGAGAAGAAGACTTGGAGCATGCGCATAAACATTGCACGCTGTATAGAAACCCAACACAACAACAAGAAAAGCTAGTAAATTTAGTAAAGCTAATAGGCTCAGAAGCTTCTGCAGCATGAACACAAGCATGTAGTCCGCCATTGTTGTTGTTGTTGCTGTTGCGTAAACATAAAGGTGTAGTTTTCAGATTTATCCACTCTGGGACCCGGTTTCACAAAATAGCAGTTTCAGGCTCCCAAAATGCGGGATCCGTCTGGGCGAAACACTGATACGATACAAAATTGTTATGTATACAGCTAAACGTGTCTCCTTGTGTACGGGGCCTAAGACAAGCTTGAAAGCAGATTTTTTCCCCCACCTTGATTAGCTTTTCAAAGTCAGGCTATGCAATGGGGCAGTTGGTCCATAGTAGAGGGGTCAGGTGATCATTGTGTTGGTGGCAGCCCTGGTATGTTTCAAGGGGACCTGGGCACCAGTGGAAGGTCAACAGGTCTTCTGAAATTAGTCCAACTACTTGCCAACTACTTTCAATGGAGCTAAAGCCTGCATAAAATGTTAAAGGGGTGGTTCACTGTTTTTTTTCTAGGCTTGATTGTGTTTATGGGGTCTAACATGTGTTAATGCTTCATTTTTAAAAGAACGCATAATTTTTTACATAATTTACCTTTATTCCACACCGCTCTGTCCCTTCTCTGGGAAACGTGCTGATCATTTCCTGCTTTTATGAAGCCCCACCCTCAGAAATAGGCAATGGGCTCTGATTGGTTAGCTAGCCCAGTGTGTTGTGATTGGCTAAACCGCCTCTAGTGCACGTCTACCGCTGCTTTAGAACATTGATTTTTGAAACTTGTGAATCCATTAGAATCGTTAGAAGACAGAATCGTGATTCATATATGAATAGATTTTTACATGCACCTCTAGTTTTCTCTTCCTCTTCTCTAAAGCAGCGCAGCATGGCCTCACCCCCTTTGCTGCCTTTTCCCGAGGGCGGGGTTTATCTGGGTTTGTTACGTCACGAACCCGGGAAGTAACTTGTTGTAGTACCTACCAGCCGTTTTTGTAGGCATTCAACTGCCAGAATTCTAAAAGACGATATCTACTTTGCATTAAACTTTATTGCAAATATTGTTTATACTCAAACAGCAACATTACACACTAATATTAAAAAAAGTGAAATCGCAATCAACCACCCCTTTAATAAATGACACTAAAAGGTGTCATACGCTAATTAGCACTTTCATGTCATTGTTACATTGTATTTACATTCTGCCTGCTGTCAGCACTTTATATTTGTTTGAATTTGTTAACTGAATGCATTGTTCCTCTCAGCCACTCACTGAACCGACCTTGGGCTTGTGGGGTTGTACCGACAAGTCTCAGAAACTAAAAAATGTTGTCCAAGAAGGTCCTGGACCTGGGTTTGGGGTTGGTGTTGCTAAAGGTGCCAGAAAAGTTTATAAATATTGCATTAAACTGCAAAGTTAAAGTTGGCAATACTGATGAGGATGCAAATAGTCCAATTTATATTCACGTTTCATTTCATGTTTACACTAATTCCAGGCTGAGGAAGTTTAGAACACCATTTGCACTTGCATTATCAATCAGACTTTAGTATGTTTGTATGTATTAGTAACATTATATTTATTGAACATTATAACATTATATTCATTATATTATACCATCTCTTTCATAGAAAACTGATATAGTCATAAAGGCTGACAGTGATCTCTCCCACTGGCTTCCTCACTGTGATTCAACATGTTCAATCGGCCAGAAATCCGATTTGAATGGAGGTCGGCTTGGTGTGTCATGCCTTAATGTCCTTGGTGTAATAATAACTGGAAGTTCTTCATTTGCTAACAGTGTGAATCTGGGATGGTCATAGGAGGCCCATGATGATGACCCTTCTCCTCAGTTTCAGAACCAGAGATGTCTCCAACCTTGTCATTCCCTGAAATGTTCTTCCAGTAAACTCTATCATCACTCTATAAGCATATTCATTGCCTTGCAGAAAAAAAGGTCAGTTTGATGGCCTCAACCAGATAGACTCCAAGGGTCGTGGTAGCTTGCGTGCTCTTTTGTAGTCTTTATGAGTATGGAAGGATGTCCTAAATCTCCACTGTGAATGCTCCATTGCCACTCTAGGCCCAAATCTGGACCCTAAGTAAATTAAAGTGAGAAATGTCCATTGCTATTCATCAATAGCACGACGGGAAAGTCGTGGCCTAATGGTTAGAGAGTCGGACTCGTAACCCAAAGGTTGCAGGTTCGAGTCTCGTACCGGCAGGGATTGTAGGTGGGGGAGTGTATGTACAGCGCTCTCTCCCACCTTCAATACCACGACTGAGGAGCCCTTGAGCAAGGCAACCCCCAACTGCTCCCCGGGTGCCGCAGCAAAAATGGCTGCCCACTGCTCCGGGTGTGTGTTCACGGTGTGTGTGTGTTCACTGCTGTGTGTGTGTGCACTTTGGATGGGTTAAATGCAGAGCACTAATTCCTAGTATGGGTCACCATACTTGGCCACATGTCACGTCACTTTCACTTTCACTTTCAAACATTTCCAGATGTGCTGTTTGGACATAGCTTCAGGTGCACCTCATCATATGCTTTCAGCAGAACTCTGCAGCCCTGCTCAAAACGTGAGCCTGGGCCCAAGATGACAACACTGCGTCAAACAACCCAGAAGGAGGCACATCCTAAGACACATTTCTTAGAATTTGTATGAGGGTGATTGTGTGTAGTCAATTTGATCTTTATGGCACTGGGCCATTATCAGAAAAGCCTGCTCATGCAGCAATAACAGTTATGTGTACATTTCTATTATAACTTAAGACATCAAAATAAATCTTAATGACAAGGTGTACAAGCAGTCCAATAATGTCCAGAGAATTTGGGTTTGTCAGTTGTTTTGTCTAGCTATATCTTATATATGTTATATAAAGCTATGAATGAGAAACCAAGACATCCCATAAACCATTGGTACTCAGCCCGGCTCCTGTAGATCAGGGTTCAATTCCAACCCTGCTTTAAAGCACAGAACAAGATAATAAGGTTTTGGGGTTCATTAAAAATCACAAGTGTTTTAGATACCGAACTCTGAAGATGGAAACAGGACTGAACAATCCTGCCATTAACCATTTGAAATTGTCTGTAACAAAATGTCCCTGACAAAATTTCAACACAAATAAATTTAAGGATCAGGAATCAAACAAAGAACCAGGAGAACTACATGTAGCACATTCTTGTATCAATCTGCCTCTTGACCAATGAGACTGTCAGCTTGAAAGCCTCTCAACTGACCAGATGTTGAAGAGGAGAACCGTTCATTCACTGTTCACTGCTTTAAAACAGACACTTTAGCTGGGCCACTATTCACCTCTTATTTCAAAATAACAAGTTCACCTGTGGTCCCACATCAAATGTCTGATTGTGTTTATATATTTTCTGACAAACGGAATGAAAAAAAATGCAAAACATGCTTTTTTCCTGCTTTGCAGGGAGTGAATCAGGGCTTGCTAAAATGTAATTAAAAACGGATAACAGTTCATTCTATCTATACGTGTAGCCTCAGGCGTTATTTTAGAAATAGGTCAGGCACTGTGTCAGTGCTTCTCTCCACACAGTGAATAGAAGCAGATAACCCATAAAAACGCGCAAGCCTACTCGCAATCAGACTGCTGGCCTACATTCACACAGCACAGCCACCCTTCAGCTTTAACCCACGTTACACGTGCCAACCCTGCCATCCTAGAGCCGTACACTGGCATGAGACATCACCCGCCTCTACGGCTGACACCTAATGTCGTCCAGCCATTGAGAAATAAGATGAAAGCTCTTTCTCTGAGACCATTCTACATTGATTAATGAAAAATCAGGTTGTTACAGTTTTGGGTCCTTTGTTTTAATTCCAGTCCTTAAAGCTACAGTCTGTGTGATTAAAGACCTAAATATTCAAAACAGGGATGGTACATGAAAATAAATCCATAAACAGTCGATTCCATAACTATATCTGACACATGCATTTCTTGACTTGGTCCAAATTTAGCCTTAAAAGGTTTTCCATTTTTGGTTAATATGATTTTGTGCATCATTCTCTTGCCCAGTAACAGCAATTTGAACAAAGAAAAAAATCCCAATCCTTTATTGTGCATGATCCTTAGTGGACATTATTTCAAAACGCATCACAATTTGGTTCCTGGTAATATAATCATAAACCCCAATGTTCATTACGTTTGTCATGCATATTAACAAACCCTGTGGTGATTTCAGCTCATCTTCATGTCATTTCTCTGATTATTTATTCTTTAATTTCATGAGAGTATTAAATCAAATTGCATTACATCAACACTTGGCTGTCAGATGACGGTAATGAGCAGAAAGCTCTTGATAGGGCCTGTTTATGATGCTTATGTGCTGGTGGACAGGACTTCATTGGCTGGATGTCCCTCAGGGGTTCCCTGTCCAAAAATACACTGCCATAATCTCAGACTCTGGATTGTGTGGACTGCAGTGTTGTGACACTTTTGACACTTCCACCAGGAAGGTCAAACACAAACTCTCAAGTTGACAGGAAAAATAACGGCAAAGAGAAAACTGCATTTTGGTTCTTATTGTGAAATTCCATTTCTGAAGATAGACATCATTTATTGCTTGGATGCAGAAAAAAACAAAAATATTGTGCCAAAATAATTTCATCCTCTCATCTTCCATCCCTCTTTTTTATCTATTTATTATTTACATCTTTTCTCTCAACATCAGCATCTTTCCCCTACCATATACAAACTACAAACACCGCTGTTAACTAAATGTCAAGCCATTTACATTTATGACACAATGTGTGTTGCTTTCTGTTAAATATAAATGTGTGGTATATATGTTGCATGTTAATATATCCCTCTGCTGACATGCTTGGCTGCCCTGCAAGCAGCCTTCTGTTTTCTCTCTCCCTCTTGTACAATTAAAACTGGCAAATGAAGAACGCCTCGTCAAGGTCAGGTGAGTTCCCCTATAAAATAAATGCCCTGAATTAGGCCTGTTCAGAGGAAAGGATTCAATTTTTCCTTTCTCTTTGGAGTGTTACAAGCTCTTGGTGCATAAAGAAGATCTGTAAAGTTGCAAAGACTAAAGTTTAAAATCCAAAGAGATATTCTTTATAAAAGTTAAGAGTCAACCACGCCTACCTAAAACGGCTCGTTCTAACACACCACCACATGTCTACGTCACTGTGTGGGAAGATTTGCATAACGCTGCCCAAATGTTCACGCACAGAAAGAAGGCGTAACTTTTATTCTCACTGTAGTATTGTTGTTGCCACCACCGCCATGTCGTGAAGGCGCTGTGTGTTTCGTTGTGAAAGCAAAACTACTTTGTTTGGCCTTCCAAAAGAGGACAGGACTAGAAATCAGTGGTTAAGTTGTATTTACAACACTGTTCCAGAACACTTCAACCCAAATATTCAGATGTGTGCAGCACATTTTATGGAGGA